AGGGCGGCCCCAGGGCCGGGAGGGCCAGCGCGGGTCCCCGCTGTGATTCCCAGCCTCCTGTGTCTCTGTGCTTAAAGTGCATCCCCTGTCAGGGGCCCCGGGGCCGAGTGCGGGCTCCTCGGTCCGCTCCTGGGTCAGGGCCCGGGCCGTCGGCTGAGCGCGGTGGCCGCCGGTCCGCTCAGCTCTCCCGCGTGCTCCCCGCCGGTTCCCTCCCGGCGGCTGCCTCTCCCCCTCCTCCCGCCCATTCGATCCAGTGTTTTCAGCCTCCCAGTCTAACGCCACTGCTGGTTTCTTAAGTGTAATTACATCGTATCTTTCAGTTCCGTGATTTCCGTTTGGTTCTTTTTGAGAATTTCTAAACCTCTCCTGAAATTCGTCGCTTCTGCGCCCGTTGTGTGCGCCTTTCCCTGTGGAATCCTCGCCGTTTTTACCGCAGTATTTTCAACCCCTCGTCTACTAATTCCAGCCTCCGGTTAGTGAGGGGTCTGGCTCCAGAGACTGGTTGGTTTATTTCCTGACGGGGGGATCATGTTTCCCTGTTTCTTCGCCTGCCTGGGGACTGTCACCTGGACGGAATATTGTGGATGGTGTTTCGGGAAAGGCTCGCGATGCCCACGGCCTGGCGAGCGGATGCCCCGCGGAGACCTCTGCTGGGCGCGTGGACAGCGCCGTCTCCGGAGGCGCCGGGAATGTGCCCGGGGTCAGGACAGGGCGGCCGCGGCCAGGCTGTGATCCCCGAGGGCAGCGTCGAGGAAACGCCTCAGTTCCTTAGTCCACCAGCTGCTGTTCACTGCACTCAATTCTGACGGTAAAATTACCCACCCCCGTGCCCAGGCGGCCAGCACGCAGGGGCCCACGTGAGAAATCAAAGCTGAGAGTGAGGGGGCGTTCAGCTCCGTTCAGACAGACACCTGAGACCTGACCTACTTGTGCTTCAGGCTCATCTGGGCTCCAGGCTATGGGGTTCCCTTCCCTTTTCCTTTTCAGCGGGTCCTCGACGTTCGCTGTATTTCCTGAGTGACCTCCCCAGGAAAGAGGCCCTGGAAGGGACCCGCCCCAGTGTCCAGCCCCCACCCTGACCCTCAAGCCTCAAGGCTCACTGGAGGGGCCACATCCCACTCCTGGGCGGCCATGGGGGACACGACCAGCAGCAGAGGCCGCAGGCTGCTGTGCCCAGTCCTCACGAAGGGCGAGCGTGCGGGAGACGCAGAGGGACTCGACCAAGATGCTCACAGCCACATCCAGAGGGAGCTGGGCGGGAGTAAAGGAAGGTGCAGGGGGAGTGAAAGCCCCGTCCCGTAAAAAGTGAGACCACTGTGTGTATCAGGGCGCTAGGGCCGCTGTCACAAGGTACCCCAATGTGGGCGGCTCAACACAGTGGGAATGGATTGCCTCCCAGGTCGAGATCAAGGCGTGGGCAGGACTGGCCCTTCCTGAGGCCCTGAGGGAGACTGTCTCTGGCCTCTTCCAGATGCCGGTGAAGCATCACCCCCATGTCTGCCTCCATCTCCACATGGCCTCTCCCCTTGAGTGTGCCTCTGTCCTAACTTCCCCCTTGTATAAGGACACAGGTCATATTGGACTAGGGCACACTAATGACCCACTTTAACTTGATCACCTCTGTAAAGACCCTGTCTCCAAACAGGGTCACACTCTGAGACACTAGGGGTCAGGTCTCCCACACATGAATTCTAGGGCAGATCCATTCAACCCACAACACTGGGTGCCACGAACATTCATGAGGAGGGCGGGCGGCATGCTCTGTGTGGGTCTCCCTCCATGAAAAGCAAACTGGGCACTTGCCCCAGGCCAGTCCTTTGGGGATTCCTGGGCCAAGAGGAGGACTTCGTGGTCAAGAAACACCGAGGATTGCCGGTGACCACGAAGGCCTGGGGAGAGGCACAGAGCAGACTCCCTCAGAGCCTCCTGAGGCAACCAAATCCGGGATACCCCAGTTTCCAGGCCTCTGGGACTGAGACAGAAAGTATCCAAAACCTCCCCATCCCCAGGACTGTGCCCAAGACTTACAGGGCCACGTGGAAATGCCCTCAGGGAGCTTACTGTCTACTGAGGAGGCCAAATAAACCTTCACAAAGTTAAAAGATAATACAGAATTAAGTTACATCAGCAATATACAAATGCTGTGCTAACACCATGTGCGTAAGCCCCCGAGAGAGTAACGGGAAATCGGGACCCGCCGCTCCCCTCAGCTCGGACCTCAGCCGCCGCAGCGCACACCTGGGCCGCTTCCGCTCTCACTTCCCTCCCTCCCTCCTGGGGCCCAGGAGACAGCCCCCCCAGAACAAGCAGGCTGGGGAGACATGTCCCCCGGAGGCAGAACGGGAGCAGAGGCTGGGGCACCCTCTAAGGCAGAAGGTCCTTTCCTCCAGGACTGTGGGAGCCCCAATAACTACAAGAGATGCAGCAACTGCGAGAAAGGGCACCTTCCAGGTTCCCCAGGGACGGCTCTGCTTCCCCTCAGTCTCGGCAGAGGAGGGTCCGCACTTGCCTTGTTCCCAGAGGATGCCCAGCAGATCTTTATGGAATTGGCGGGTGACAGTGTAAACGGCTAGTAAATGAAAAACCAAAACGCCGGCTTCCCACCTGAGGCAGAGCCTCGCGCAGAGCGAAATGGCCACGTGAAGGAATGAATGAGTGGATGAGCGGGCGAGTGAGGAGTGAGCGAGTGGATGGACACTTTTCCTCCAGGGACTGACATAGTTTGAATATACTGCATCTCGATGGCTGTCCCCACA